CCTTGCTGGTTTCCAGGTCTAGGAGGGTGAGGTTTCTGGTTATTGTCTCCTTGCTGTGGTGGTCCCTCTGGTGCATTTCCATCTTCTTCACTGTCATCATCATTATCACCATCATCTTCTTCAGAGGCAGAAGGTCCTGGGGGGAATTCTCCAGGAGGGGGTCTCTGATGATGTTGACCATGGCCTTGGTTTTGCTGTTCTCCCTCTGTTTGGGTATAGATCAATGTAGAATGAATTCATACCTTCTCTTTTTCTGATAACACCCTCACAACATTATGTCCCTGATTCTCCTTTAATCTTATTTTTCACATTTATCATATGAACTTGCATATGTCTCCACTCTTCTGACATATATTTGTTCTTAAAATTGGTGCATAAAAGATGACTTTGTGTTCTTTACAATCCTCAGAAGTGAAGAAAGGGGAAGAATTTTTTAATGTTATTATTTAGAAGTTGGCAGAGTATCAAAATTGTGATAGCAATGCTCTAGTCTTACATATATTATGGTATTTAGAATACTATAACCATGTGGAGAACAAGAAAGAAATGTAGGATAGTGATGGAAAGATGTTCCACTGAATTTCCTTTCAGTGTTTTTGTATGTATTAGTTAACTGTGCATACAGAACTGATAAAAATAAATTTTAAAAAGTGGAAGAGCATTGGATCTGTGTGATTGCATATCTAATGAGCAATCATATAATTCTCCTTGGAATCACTGGTGAAAGAAGAATTCTACAAACAATCTATAGTGCTATTGGCGATTTTAAATTAGGACCCCCAAAGTGTTCATCATATGAAAGTCATTGTTTCAATCTGCGGAAGAGACAAAATGTTCCTGTTATAAAAATCTGGCTTCCTACTCTTCAATTGTACAGCCTTGCTCTAGTTCCTAGACAATGTTGGGAAGTCTTCCTATATACCTCAGGGGAAGCTCTCACATATTAATTTCGTAGAATGACAAAATGATAACGAGACATTAAAGAACTGAATAGTTACAGAATAAAGGATTCATAGAATATCAATAGAGGAAGAATCTGGTTTACCTAAGAACTGTGAAGAAGGGTTTCCATAGATGATTGCTGGAAAAGAAGCACAAATAAATGAAAATTTACCTATGACATTTTCTGGATGCTTAATAAAGATGACTTTAAACTACAACTTCACATCTACTATGCAGAATTTAATCTTGGATAGTGTTGCTGATAATGCTGCCAGGATGGTCCCCACAGCATCAGCAACCATTATTTTGTTCCTCGTTTGCTTTGTCAATCCTTACTGTTTGTCTCTTTTACATTAGGTAAATTTCATGGTCATGTGTTCATGTTCTTATGTTTTTCTGCATGACCTTCACTTCTTACAGGGTATATCCCTAGGCATTTCACGTATGGAAATAAGAACAAACATTGCTTTATTAACCATAATGAATAAATGCATGTGGGTCATGACAATAGAGAAATGTGTCCAGCCAGATATCTGAGTGAGGAAAAAAGTGCTTGCCTGTTGACTTGAAATCAGTTCCTGGAATTACATGGTATAAAAAGATAGCTTGCTGCTAATGGGTTGTCCTCAGGCAGGAATGTGAATATGCATTCAAATTCTCTCACTGCTTCTCTCTGTGTCTCCTTGTTTCTGTCTCTGTCTCACTCTGTGTCTGCTTCGCTCTCTCTTTGTGTGTGTGTGTGTGTGTGTCCGCCTACCTTTCTCTTTCTCAAATCCACATTACACACAAACAAACATATATATATATATATATATATATATATATATATATATATTTATATATACACATATATGTATATATACACACACATCCACACACACACATCCACATACAGTATGGCATGCACTGACATGCACAGAAATGATATTTAAAAAAAATTATTTCCTGAAATTTCTAGCTTATTGTAAACAGAGTTTCAAATTTATTATTATTTTCCTATTTCTATTTCTCAAAGATATGCCTGATACATATTTACTTCTTTCATTTTCTCTATCCTCTGTATACCAAGCCCAGCATCAACACTATCTGCTTCTCATAACACCTTAAATACTGAGTTTCTCCCTGTCAACTGAAGCATATTGCCACACATTGTTTATCACCAAAATCGTCTTTTCACAAATGCACTCATGTTTTTTTTTGCAAAATATTTTCTTAAATTATACTATATGTACAGTCTGAAATCTACAAGCACAATGAAAATATAAATGTCCTAATATTTGTTCCCATATTTATTTGCCTCGCTTGCATGTCATTTCCCCCCATTCCTCCCAGTCTTGAACTTCAGTGTGTTACCCAAGTCCCATGTCTCTACTACCCTCTCCCCTACTTTATACCTGCATTTGAGCTCTGAACAGAGCTCAGGGCCAATAAGGCTGCTGTGAGCAGGACCACCAGCATCTTGGAAGAGGCTCTGGAGTTGCTCCCAAGTGTGTGCTGGAGAAAGCAAGACCACAGTCTTTATAAGAAAGGCAGAACAAAGGCACCTTTCAGGTCCTTACAGGTGACCTTCCCTGACAGGGCAGGATACTTCGCATCCCTGACTGTTCTTTGGGACTTTAGCCTAGCAGGATGCACTGTGGAGGAGGTTACCAATGTCTCAGTTCTATATGGTACAATATGAAATTTGGACAACAATGTTGAAGTGATACAGACAAAGTCCAGATATTAGAAATGAAGTTCTCTCATTGATTAAGCTCTGGTTTTATAGAACTGTGACTCTGATCCCATGAAACGTGATTGTTAGGAGATTTTCTTCTATACACACCTTTGTCCATACTCTTCCTGACACTGAGGCTAAAGATGGGTAGTATCTCTGTTATTAAGTGATAAAGTCCATTCATGGCATTTTATGAATGTGCAACCACATATGTAACATTTAGCTGATTGTTTAGTTCAGTTCAGCATGAAGTTAGGACACAAAGCAGGAATGCATAGTAACTTAGACCAACAAAACTGACAGCCTATTTGTTCCCAGGAAGACTGTCCAGAATTCTCCAGAACTGGTTCAAATCATAGAAACTATGATATGTTAGATCTAGAATATTGAATATTCTATTCTTCACACTGTCCTCTGTTAGAGAAAGGAAAGTGGCAATAGGGAGGCCATGTAACTCTAGAACCAGGTAATCCATGTGCACCCAGTTGTCTCATGATGGTGGAATGCTGTGGTCCTTGGTGTTTCTTGGAATATCTTCACTGTAACCTTATAAATGCTGTTTTGAGAATATTGGATTAAACTATGTTTTGATATTGTTTTCTCCATTAATTTTTCTGAAGCAGTGACATGGACTATTGATTGACTAAACCTTAATGAAGGTGGTCTGACATCACCTTCAAACTCTCCATAGGACGGCTTTCTCTGAATGATTCTCATTCCATGTTCTGATATGGAGTGCTTCAGTTTTTTCTAGTCTGACTTGTTGATGATTTTAAGATCAATACCACCCACTGATGTATCTCTCAGCATCATCTATGCACCTTTTACTTTTCCAATGAGTCCCTTGACTTACAACTCAAACTAATGTTTACTGAGTTCACTACCGTGTTTGTGATTTAGCCTCCTTGCTTTGCTTGCTATTCTTCCCCCATGTCCTCCACTTGAGGAGTACATATGTAACTTCCAAAGGTAGCTTCACCCTACTCTTCATTTGCATAGTTTCATTTCTTAAAACAATTGATCAGTGCATAACCAAGTGTGGTTCACACACCTTGAATCCCAGCACTTGTGGGCCGAGGCAGATGTATCTCTGAGATTTTCAGACAAGGTACCTCTACAAAGTGTTGTTCCAGGACAGGTAGTGCTGTTATACAAGGAAAACTTGTTGGGAAAAACAAAAATTAATTTGCAGATCTTGTGTTGAAATGCCTCTTCATTTGATACTAATGCTGCTTCTTCTATCACCCTATTCTTCTTTTTGTTGTGCACTGAAATCACTTGAACTTTGTGAAACACAGTACAATAAATATGCATAACTGCCTTTTGATGTCTGAGATCATATCATGCTTTCACAGTTGCCTAGTGTTTTGGTATGTTTTAAGAAATTTGAAGATTATCTGGATGTGGAAAAGCAGGTTGGGACATGTGACTGTAACTTTCCTGTGCTGCACATATCAATGTGCATGATTGTTCATTTTGCACAAGTATGTAGATTATCTAAAAAAAAAAGCCACCAAGAAAATGTCCTACAGGTGATGTGAAACTCTGTTGTGTCACCAGGTGTGTTTATCCCCCCCCCCCCCCGCAGGCGTTAATAGTTGTGTTCTGAAGGTGTAGTCTATTAGCATTTGGTAATCTTCTCTGGTTCTTTGAAAACCACAGACATTCTCACATTCTTCATTTATGGACTTTAATGAAGACAGAAAACAATTGTTTGTTCTGATTTTGGCCCATTGTTTATTGACAGGTTAGTTTTCTAGAGTTTTCAGATATGACATTGGAAGTACTTGTTGATGGCCTGACCAGGTGTGGCTCTGGTAGACTTTGAACTGGGAAAGTGAGCGTAGGAACAGAGGAGAAAGCTGGGTATACATGGTTGTGTCTGGGTAGGTGGGCTATTGGCTGTTCTGACAGAACTCGGTCTTATCTTTAGCTATAGGTGTGTCCTGGAATAAAGATGTTGATTTTGCCAAATATCACACAGTTTGAGACTTTTCTTGACTTTTTTTCATGTTAGCAATGTGTGAAAGAGATTATTGTTTTATGGAAGAAAAATGTCACCTAGGAACTCACCAGAAAAAATATAGTTTGTGGAGGAAGTGAGAGGGACACTGTCAGTCATTAGTATTATGATGGGTTAAAGAATAAGCCTCATGCAATAGGCTCCTAGGAACCTGTGGTGGTTGAAGCAGTTAAGGAGTGGCCATTCCATATGTCCCATCCATACTTCTACTGCTTACATATATGAAGAATTCAAATTAATCATATTGTAAGGATACTTGCCATGCCATGTTTATTACTGAACTATTCAAAATACCCACAATATGTAATCAACCTATATGGTAGTTCTGTTTTTAGCTGTTTCAAAACTTTAGTATTGATATTCATGGGATGAGTCCAGTTTGGCTCCCATGATTATTCTTAAAGGTTTCCTCTTCTTTCACATTCTCAGCAACATTTATTTTATTATTATTATTATTTGAATCATGTCACTGTTCTGATCCGTGTCAAATTGTATAGCCTCACATTTTCAAATTGAATGTCTATGAAAACTAAGAATGTTGAACACTGACAAGATATTCATTAGCCATTTGAAATTTTCCTATTGAGAAATACCAATTCAGGGCTGGAGGGATGGCTCAGCCATTAAAAGCTAGTCTTGCAACCCAAAATACATTAGAAATTGCTGTGGATGATTGATTGATAAATAAAATGCTGATTGGCCAGTAGCCAGGCAGGAAGTATAGGTGGGACAAAAAGGGAGGAGAATTCTGAGAAGTGGAAGGCTGAGACAGGGAGACACTGCCAGCCGACACCATGAAAAGCAACATGTAAGATATGGGTAAGCCATGAGCCACATGGCAACTTATAGATTAACAGAAATTGGTTAATTTAAGATATAAGAACTAGATAGCAAGAAGCCTGAGCCACTAGGCCAAACAGTTTAAGTAATATAAGCTTATGAGTGATTATTTTATAAGTGGGCTATGGGACTGTAGGGACTTGGTGGGACCCGGAGAAAAACTCCCCAGCTACTAAAAATTTTCTTTCAATGTTTTGTATTTACCTCTTCAAAAGGAGACTCTTGTACATTCTAAAGATTAGTCTCCTGTCTGATACACAGGTGGGAAAGATTTTTATTTTCCTCCACTTCTTGTTTCCTTTGCTCTGTGGAAAATCTTTTAATTGCATTGAATTGCTTTTGTCAATTTTTGGACTTTATTTTCCATTCAAATCCTTTCATAATGTCCTAGATGTATACCACAAAGTTTTCTATATCTTCTTGGCAGTTACATAGTTTCTGGCCTTAATTAAAGTAGGATTAAATTGAAAGTGGATTAAATATGTGCTGATTTATGTTTAGCATATAAATATTCATCTATTTTCATTTTTCTACATGTGGAACATACTTTTTTTACAGAAGCATTTTTTGAGGACTGTCTTTTCTAGAATATTTCTGTCAGCTTTGTTAAAATTAAGTGTTGCTGTAATTGTGTGGGTTCATTTGCTCATGTAATCATTTCCATTAGTTTAAGCAAATGTTTTTCTGCTTATACCATGCTGTGTTTTTAAAAATATGTCGTTGTAGTAAAATTGTAAGCAGGTTTTATGCCACCTCGTTTTCCCTGCTCCCATCTAAATGACATTTTCTAAGAAACAAGGATGTCCTACATCATTTAGTTTCATACACATTTGTTCAACCACAAATAAATTGAAATATTCATAGTGTAGCTGTTTGTTGAATATGTTTACACATTCTTTTGCTTATTTTCTTTACAATATAATGTAACACATATTTAAATTATGTATTCTAGAAGTAAATTTAATGCTTAGGAGAGGATATTCTTATTACCAGTATCTAATTATTATTTTTCTTTGTTTTTTCAAGACAAGATTTCTCGTTGTTTTCTTGGATCTCCCTTGTAGATCAGATTGGCCTCTGTCTCCAGAATGGGGTGATTAAATCCATGCATTGTTAGCTCTATGTCTATTTTTAAATTTCACAGAAAAGACCTCCATATCCTTCACATCATTACATTTCTCCTGGAACCAGGCTCTTAAGGAAAGCTGGTAGATAGTTTATTTTTCTGTGTTCATTTATTGTCCTATTAAAAAGCACCATATTATCCATGTGAACTATCAAACATACTTTCCAACTCAAGAGAAAACTAAAATATGCTGCATCCCTATATTTATTTCCATCTCCACACTTCTTTCTACTTTTTTATTTTAATTTCACTTATTATCTCCTTTCAAGATAAAATTGCATTCTTGCATTCTTATAGATATGTATGCAGCCTGCAAATTTTATAATAGTTCCTTATTTTTGTCTCCTTTTATGCTTGCAAAATAATTAAGATGGAAATCCTAGGAGACAATTGTTTGCTTTTTAACATGTTCAAAATGTGGAGCCTCATCCTTCTGGCTTTGATGTGTTTCTGATGCTTTCTATTTTCATTGCCACCATCTTGCCTTGTATATAAAAAAAATCTTCCATTTCAGCAGCCTTTGACTTTTTCTCTTTGTCTTTATTCAATTTGACTGTGAGTATTTTGGAGTGATACTATTGTATTTGCCTTGGTCATTGAATATTCTGAAAATTTCCACTTCCCCAAAAATCTGTGAGTTGAAATCTCAACCCTAATATGAGCTTCTATGAAAGTGTATCTCTTTCAAATTAATTCTAGCAAGTGGAGGTCATACCAGTGTAGACCTTTTGTTGGCATAGCATCACTGATGGCTCAGTGGTTAAGAGCATTTGCTGATATTGCCAAGGACCTGGGATTGGTTATCAGGACCCATTGGTGGCTCACAGCAGTTCTTTAATTCCAGTTTCCTCTTATTCTAGTGTCACCCTCTCTCAGAAAAACAAACACAAATGGAAATTGCATGCTGACTATTATATTGATACACAGTTTGTATGGTTATTCTACTGGCATCATTTTCTGAAAGGCATTATCTTTTTGTCCATTTTCTGAAGCAAAGAAACATCAGAGAAGCTAGAGACATATCCCATGTAATTTCAACATATTCTGAGATACTATCTTAGCTGTTTGGCTATACAGTATTACTCTGAAGGCATTTACTGCAAAGTGAATTTAAATTACTTCTATTAGATAATTCTGGATTTATTGAAGAAATTCAAGATGCAGGTTGTTTCTGTTTTATGCAATTGATATGCTGGTATATAAGTTATGGAATGATATCATTTCTAGAATGAAAAGGAGACAATGATTTCTGATTAGGTCCCTATTGGAATGAGCCCTGCATGTTGCTTACCCATGGGAAATTTTCAACATGCCACTTGGTGGATACTGCCTTCTTACTGAGGTGGCTCTTGCTGGCTCTGTGAAGAGGGCTTTTTCTGCTGCTGGCCTTTAGGTGGTGGGCCTTGTTGTGGTCCATGATGAGGAGAAAAAGAATGATGTTGATTTCCTCCTTGCTATCGTGGTCTGTCTTGTGAATTTTGATCTTCACCCTCATCTTCATCTGAAGCCAGGGTCCTGGGTGCAGTATTGTCCCCAATGTTCTAATAGAAAGTCCATTGACTCTTTCTCCTCAGTTGTACTCATGATGTTTTGTGTTTTCCATCAGCCACAGTGGTACTTATCATCTTATACCATTTTGCATATTCCAGCAACCCCTTTGCTTCATCTTCAATATCAGTGTTTACTTTGTGTTCTGTTTGGCTTTTCTTTTAGGACTGGGCCAAGTTTGGCCTCCGTTTTTCTATTCTTTTCCCTTCGTTTCAAGTGTTGTGATTATAGGGATGAGCCACCATATGTAGCTCTAATCTCATCTTTGTAAGTGTTGTTTAATTTTTTAAAAATCTCAATACTTGACAAAAAGGCATTGTGTATGCTACAAGCCATCAACTGGTTGCTGTAGGTTTTCTTATATGTTGTTCTGACCTCTGTATTGTTTATCTATAGGACTTGATTGTTTTTTAAATATTTTATTTTATAATTAACTTAATTTCACATACAGCCACGGATTCCCCCTTCTTCTCTCCTCTCCCCCCAGCCCTCCCCTTCCAATGCACTCCCATTCCCACCTCCTCCAAGGAACGGTCTCCCCTGGGGAGTCAGTCTAGCCTTGTAAACTCAGCCAAGGCAGGCCCAGTCCCCTCCTCCCTACACCAAAGCTGAGCAAAGTGTCCCAGAATACCCCAGGCTCCAAAAAGCCAGCCCATGCACTAAGGACAGGTCCTGGTCCTACTGCCTGGGGGCCTCCTAAATAGTTCAAGCTAATCAACTGTCTTACTTATCCAGAGGGCCTGGTCCAATTCCATGGGGGTTCCTCAGCCATTGGTTCACAGTTCATGTGTTTCCACTAGTTTGGCTATTTGTCCCTGTGCTTTTTCCAATCATGGTCTCAATATCTCTCACTCATACAATCCCTCCTTTCTCCCTCTCTCTCTTTCTCTCTCTCTGATTGGACTCCCTTCACCTGAAGAATGGATAAATAAAATGTGGTACATATATACAATGGAGTACTACTCAGCAGAGAAAAACAATGACATCATGAGGTTTGCAGGCAATGGATGGATCTAGAAAACATCATCCTGAGTGAGGTAACCCAGACTCAGAAAGACAAACATGGTATGTACTCACTCATAAGTGGATTCTAGATGTAAAGCAAAGGATAACTAGTCTGCAACTCACAACTCCAGTGAGGCTACCTAATAAAGAGGACCCTAAGAAATACACAGGAATCACCCAAATGACAGAGAAATAGATGGAATCTACATGATCTAACTGGGAGTGGGGTGGGATAATGGAAGGCAAGGGTCGGGGGAAAGAGAGCTTAGGGGAGCAGAAGGTCCCAGCTTGATCAGGAGCAGAGTGGGAGAATGGAGAGGAAGATATCATGATGAATGAAGACCCCAGGGGAATAGGAAAAAACAGAGTGCTAGAGAGTTCCCCATTAATCCACAACGATACCTCCACAATAGACTACTGACAATGGTCCATAGAGTGACTGAGTTGACCTGCTCTGGTGATTGGATGGCCGAACACCCTGGCTGTCATGAAAGAATTCTCATTCAGTGTCTGATGGAAGCAGATGCAGAGATCCATGGTCGAGCCCAAGGTGGAGCTCTGGGAGATCATTCTTATTAAGAAGCATGAACTATTTCATTTTTATGATTGATCTGTACAATACTTGTCTCATTGCTCAGTTCAGAGTAGTGTGTGTGTGTGTGTGTGTGTGTGTGTGTGTGTGTGTGTGTGTGTATGCGCGCAGTTATATGTGCATATGTCTATCTCTGGAGGAAATTTGAAGAGACTTTTGATGAAGGTTAATCACAGAGGGTCATGAGATTCTGCATCTTAAGACAGGCCCCCTATCCAGTGTGTGCTATGGGTCCTATGGTAGGCATGTATGAGTTTGCATGCTGGTTCTCTGTGAACAAGTATTGAGAATATTGTATGAAGCCCAGTTGAATGGTATGCTTTTTATAGATAATGTGAAAACTGCAGAGATATGATGGTTGGTGGCTTTTTCCATATTCATCACAGGTGCATTATGAATGCAGAATATAATCACTTGGCAATTTTCTGTGGCTATTTAAAAATCAGAGAATCTTGTTTCATGAGATTTTTGGAAGGCAAAGTGCAGTTATATGCCTTTGTTAAACTCCTATATTTTTTGCCAGTGGTCCTGATCCAATGACCAGTTTTAGACTCTTAGGAGGGAAAGTCAAGTCAGAGACATGGACCACAGAGATAGCTAGGTAGATTTGTTCACATGTGTGTACTGTGGAACAGGCAGCTCTATAGGAATTGCAATCTTGTTCTTATATTGATGGATCCTAGAAAAGAACAGCAGCAGCATTATGAAATGCTGCAAACATTTTGTCCTTTCCTTGAACCTCTTCAGTTTTGTCAATATTGAAAGAGACTATTCTATTAACTTTCCTCAAGATGTCACCTATGAACTCATGGGGTATAATCAAAACAAGTTATGGAACAGCTCACCAGGAAGACATTCAGTAAAGTTTAGGTTAAATAATGGGCACCATGCCCCAGGCTCATAGAGACCTGTAGGTATTTAGAGCTCTTAAGTAATCCACCTCTGGAATGTGTACCTTGTACTTAGTAACCCCATAGAATCCACAAGTTTTACCTTCTACTTCCCACTACTTCATATTCATTTTCTAAGCTTCCACAACAATCATATACAGAGAATAAATACGAGATGTATTTTTCACATAGATTAATTTGCTACCAGGTTATTTTCTTCAGAGTTTTATTTCTTTTGTTCCAGAAGGAAATCTTAAAATTATGTCACAATATAGTATCCTCTCTGGTCATGTTTTGCTGATGTCATTTTGTCAACGTATTCTTAGAAGTATCTATGTTCTAAATATCTTCTTTTGATTATTAAAGATCCAATTGGCAGTGTCCAAACAGTCATACTCTGAGGTAATGAGGATTAGACATTTAACAGAAAAGCTAGGTTTTGGGGGGGTTGGGGGTGCGGAAATCTAACTCTTTGCACCTAACAGCAATTCCTCTGAAACGACAGCCATTTCACTAAGGGTTCAACATTAGAACCACATTTATTTTTCATGATCTTGTAACACTGCCTACAGAAAAGTGCACTTGGGTGGCTGGAGAGAGATGGCTTAGAGGCTAAGAGCATGTCCTGTTCTTGTAGAAGACTTCCGAGCATCCACATTGAGTGGTTCACAACCACCTATAACTTCAATTCCAGGGGAGCTAATGTCATCTTCTTGTCTTCTCAGATATCTGCACTCACATGCACACACACACACACACACACACACACACACACACACACACACACACACACACACACAGACACACACAGAGTAATACAGAATCACCAGGTTATAGTTGTGTATGCACATATATGTGTGCAATAAAAATAAAGGAAAAATTGTGAGTTTTAGAGTGTATAGGAGGACACAGGAGGAGTTGCAATGGGGAGAGGGAGAGGTGAAAATTATCTCAAAATGCATTTGGCTCTACTTTCAAAATACATTTCAAATATGCTGACTTTCATCATGTCTAATCCATGACTCTTGTGAGTCCATGCTCCTCTCTTGACAGTTATACTGGCCAAGGCTAATTAGGGTTCATGGATAGGTCATTACATTCAATTTCATCCTATAATGAGGATTTTTTTCCCTCCCTAGATAAAAGTGAGGCCAGGCCAATATGGGTGTAAAGAGCTAGGAGTTGGTTATGCCACTGTCTTTGCTCTTGTTAGTGGGCTCTGTGCTTTCCTGCTTTTTACTTGCTTATAAGGTTAGAATGCTGCTCAGAAAGAAAAAGGAATACTAGTTTGGAACAAGTTTAAGAAGAAAGTTTCCTAGCTGTATGAGAAAATAACCCCCCTCCACCGAACAAACTGGTTTGTTATAATCATAATTATTTATACCTGCTACTGGCTCCATATCTTTTCTTACCCTCAAGGCAAAGCTCTACTGTAGATTTGTACTTTACTCACTATTTTGAATCTTCTCTAAAGGTCACCAAGTTTAATTTATAATGTCTCTCTTTTGTGCCTGTTACTGCATGTGGTAGTTTGTATGTAACTGGCCCTCATCATCTCATAGGGAATGGCACTATTAGGAGGTGTGACTTTGTTGGAGGAAGTGTGTCACTGTGAGGGCAGGCTTCGAGGCTTTGTATGCTCAGGATACCTCCGCCACCCCCACTAGTGTCTCAATTAACTTCCTGTTGCCTGCAAGATGTAATACTCTCAGTTAATACTTCAGCACCACGTCTGTCTGCTCACCACCGTGCTACCCATCATGATGAAAATGGCCTAAACATTTGAAACTGTAAATGAGCCACCTCAATTAAATGTTTTCTTATAATAGTTGCCATGGTCTTGGTGTCTCTTCACAGCAGTAGAATCCATAAGAGAGCAAGATGCTGTGTAAACTGAGAATGAATGAGTGCATTTTCAAAAACTCCACAAAGAAGGAATATGATTGCCAGAAGAGGGGAACAAATACAGAGACCCACAGACAGACTGTGTACAGAGAGTGAGAGTGCTAAAGCACTTAGCCCTCAATGGGATGTCTTGATTTAAACCCTCCCCTCAGTACCAAGGGAATTCTGTAGAGAAGGTGATATAAAGAGTTTAAGAGCTATAGGGATTGAAGGACACCAAGGAAACAGGCCTTTTAAACACAACAGGATCAACAATGCACATAGGAACTCACAGAGACTGAGGTAGCATGCACAGAGCCTGCACCAGATAGGATACTAGAGCTGAAAGGGGAAATTGACATATACCCCATCCCTAATATTCCAGAAGCCATCTCCAATTGATAACCCTTTTCAAATAAGTCTAGTTTGCAAGCAGGGTGGTGGTGGTGCACACCTTTAATCCCAGCGCTCAGGATCTCTGTGAGTTTGAGGCCAGCCTGGGCTACAGAGTGAGTTCCAAGGCTAAACAGAGAAAGCTTGTCTCAAAAAACAAAAATAAAAAAGTTTTCTCCAAAG